TAATGAATGGTTTCATTTGGTTTCCTCCTTCTGCTAATATTATTTTTACAGAGGAAAAGTCTTCTCAATGAACATGTTTATCAATTGCTGTTAAATATGATATACTATAGTTTAGCACCATGCGGGAATTCAGTCAATATTTGGTTACATTTAATTAAGTTCAGTTTTGCTGAATTCCATAAATTGTTTCTAAGTATGATTACAGCTAAAGCATAATAACATTAAGTGATAGAATGACTATAATAATTATTTTTGTCATGCCCCAGCATGTAACTTTATATTCTGTTGTTGCTCTCTAATCCCATCTAGTGGCCAGAGAGATAAATATTAATTATATTGTTTGAAGCTGACCCAACCCATTTTACACATCAATCTGTACTCTCACACAAGTTCACACTGGGAAGCCAGACTTCATTTTCTTTAGCATTTGGAAAGGCAGAAGCACAAAGAAGAATCCATCTTAATCTGTGGCACATGGTCATCCAAAGACAAGCCCACATCCCACACACAGAGCATCACTAGTAACATGTAAATTGCTTGTATTTATTAATTGTTATGTTCAGCAGTAACTCAATACTATCTATCTTGTATTTGGTTCTTATTGTATGTATCCCTATTTTCCCCAGCTTCATCATATCCTGTTCTTTCAATAAAGCATTCACATCTATGCACATGGTCTGTTTTATTGGAGGATAGGTGGGTTTAGCTGCATATCGAGCTGCACAAGACTAACGTGTAGTGAGGACAGAACAATTTTCACTATATTTCCCAAGTCTGCCAGTTTGAAGCATGTTTATTTGGAATTCAATTTTTGCAGCAAAGATTCACTGGAAAATATTCATTCTGCTCATGTATTGCTCAGTGTGTTTTTAGGAATGTAAACATTTTGGCAGTGACCAGCCTCTGAAGAAAAGGGTTTTGGGAACTGGAGAAACTGATACAGGACATGCCTTTCTACCGGCCCCTTGAACAGTGTAACAAAAATATTTGAATCAATACACAAACTGAAACTTAATAAATCACTTTAAAGTTTGAAAGTTTTAGTGCAATTTATGTGTTTATAAAATATATGAACACACAGTCAGTACAAATATGCATGTAGCAGAGTTGGTATTCAGCAGGTTCTGACCAGTTCTGGAGGACCGGTAGTTTGGAGAACTGGCAAATACCACCTCTGGCTGGAGGTTTTATAGTATCCTTCCCTCTGCCATGCCCACCAAGCCACGCCCACAGAACCGTTAGTAAAAAAATTTGAATCCCACCACTGGCATGTAGGTTACATAAGGTAAGAGTTTACCATTGTCAGTATGACCAGCATAAAAGGGGGGGAAGTACAATCTACAATGAGATCAAATGTACAAATGTACAAAAAGGAAAAAGGAAATACAAAGTATAATATGATGCAATGCACAAATATGACATGAGTAAACAAAATACAATAAATGATATAATAGGGATACTGGTAGTCCTCAGCTTATGACCACAATGAGCCCAAAATCTAAATTGCTAAGTGAGAAATTTGTTGAGAGAATTTTGCCCCATTTTACGACTTTTCTTGCTACAGTTTTTAAGTGAATCAATGTGGTCGTTAAATTAGCAACTCAGTTGTTAAGTGAACCTGGCTTCCCCATTGACTTCGCTCATCAGAAGTTTGCAAAAGGTGATCATATCACCCTGGGACAATGGTCACAAGTATGAAACAGTTGCCAAGCATCTGAATTTTGATCACGTGATCATGGGGATGTTGCAAAGGTCCTAATTGTGAAAAACAGTCATAAGTCACTTTTTTCAATGCCGTTTTAACTTCGAACAGTCACTAAATGAATTGTTGTAAGACAAGGGCTACCTTTATTATTATAGCTAAAATTCAGAGGTGGTATTAAGCAGGTTCTGACCAGTTCTGGAGAACCGGTAGCGAAAATTTTGAGTAGTCTGGAGAACGGGCAAATACCACCTCTGACTAGCCCCATCCATTCGCTGCCTCTTGAGTCCCAGCTGATGATCTGGGTCTTCTTTGGTTGCTCTGCAGAGGAGAACAGAGCTGGAAAGCAGGTTAGTGGGGTGGGGAGGGAATGGGGATTTTGCAATATCCTTCCCCTGGAGTGGGGTGAGAATGGAGATTTTACAGTATCCTTCCCCTGCCATGCCTACCAAGTCACGCCATGCCCACCAAGCCATGCCCCCAGAACCGGTAGTAAAATTTTTGGAATCCCACCACTGCTAAAATTCCTCAATAAAATTAGTATCTGAATCTAAAAAGAGAAGTAAATATTCAATTTATAGAAAGATTGACAATAGAAACATAAATCATCCTATAAAATGTTAAAATTACAGTCAACCATAAAGAATTATTAAAATAAAAATATAAGAGGAATTACTAGTGTAAGCTTTATACCTGTCTGCCGCTGTTATATAAAACTTGGCTACATTTTATATATTAGAACGTGATAGAAGAAAGTCAACTTAAAATACCTCAGACCAATCTAAAATCTGTAACAACAGATGAAAGATAAACCATTATCAGAGACTGTTGTAAAATGGACAATGTAACTGCAAATGAAAGATAAATTCAGTTGAATCCTCAGCACAAGGGCAGGTGTGACTAGCCACAGATAATACATTTCCTACATAGCAGTGCTAAGCATAAGTTATTGAACCTGGCCCTGAAAAGGAACCTTAATTATGATGGAGATATTAATGAATAGATATAATTAGCTGATTTGCATTGAAAGTGCTAACTCCTGAGACAGGGTAGGGTGTTGCGCATAGCCTGAGCCTCATTTGGCATTGCACGGGCATATGATACTCCTCAATAATCAGACCTCATGTTTTGAAATTCACATGCTTCATGCTTTGAAATTCACAACTATGAACTGAGCAGGAGTAAACAATTCCAGAACATAACATTAGCTCATGCATGTCATTCCCAATATTTGGCAGCCCTTACAATCTATATGGTGTTAGTAATTTACAGTATTGTAAGAGTGAAAGGAGAAGACAGGAGAACATTATAGAAAAGCTAAAATGTGATAAGTAATATTTTTTCTAGAGAGAGTTTAAATAACTATTGTGTTTCTGCTTTTAATGTACACCTAAAAACAGTCAAAGCTTATTAGAATGTTGCTTGGGGCATTAAAAAGAATTATAACTTTTCAACTGGGAAAGGCATCTTGTCCAGCTTGACAGATTATAGGCTATTAAGAGAAAAAAAATCACAAAAATCTTGTAAATGACTGCACATATTTGCTTTCAGGCCAAAGGTAAGGCAAAATTATGTATCAGGCCCTAATTTACATCTTATATTAAACTACAATTTGTTGTGGGGCCGTGGTGACTCATGTGGTAAGACCAGGGGTGGAATTCTACCTGGTTGCACCAGTTGTTATGATTCTGCACAGTTCAGAGAACCGACAAATCATGCCACTGGCTGGCCCCTCCCTTCCCCACTCACTCATTCCTTACCTGGCATGCGTGCCTAAGTTTGGTAAGTTGCTATCTTTCCTTTCCCCCCGCCCCCCGACCATCAGCTGTTCTGCTGTGCCGGGAGATTTAGATTTGCTAGAAAGCAAGAAATGAATCTAAAAGCAGAGCTGAACCTTCCTTAGGACTGAAGCTTCTGTTTTTCATTGTAGACTCAGGCAATAGATTGCAGAAAGGTAGATCTCTGAGTGAATCTGTGATTCTGTGAGCGTTTAGTCATGCTGTATAGTCATGCTCCATACATGACTATGGAGACGTCTTTGGACAGTGCTGGCACTTCGGCTTTGTAACAGAGATGTACACCACCTCCTAAAGCCGGAAATGACTAGCATGTATGTGCGAGGAGAACCTTTACCTTTTACCTTTATAGCCTGCCTCAATAATAAGGGTGAGTTATTTCTTTGTTGGATTTGTTTGTTGGCCATATTGATAGGGCTAACTAAATCCATGATGACACTGGATCAGGGGTGGGATTCTACCAGTTCGCACCTATTCGCTAGAACCGGTTATTAACAATCTAAGCAATTCGGAGAACCGGTTGTTAGAAGAAATTACTGGCCTAATCCTGTAAAGAAGGCAGGAAGGAAACATTCTGGTGTTCCTTACAGAAACTGCCTCTCCGTTATCCCTTATTACATTATTGGCAGGACTAGACTTCCTGTCTCAGGAACTTCTCTGGAGTTTTTTCCCCCTCCTTTGCTGGTACTTTGCTTGTGTGGAGTGGCCATTCAAAGTTACAATGGCACTGAAAAAAGTGACTTATGACCATTTTTCACACTTACGACTGTTGCAGCATCCCCACAGTCATGAGAGGCCAGGCGAGGAGATGCGTGCCTCAATGTGAGTGATGTTGAGTTGGCCACACCCAGCCAATAACATGCCCACCAAACCATGCCCACCAACTAAGCCACGCCCACAGAACCGGTTGTTAAAAAATTTGAATCCCACCCCTGCACTGGATGGCACATATTAAAAAGAATTAAAAAAACACCTAATGAATGTTCCAAACGGGGGTGGGGGGAACTATTCAAACATTCAGAATCCTACAAAAGATTCATCACCCAACCTATGCCAAGGCCTAGGAAAAAAGCCAGCTTTTTAGAAACCTTTCTAAGCAGTCAAGATAGCAGCCAGATTTTTAAATAGTTTTTAAACAGTCAATATAGCAGCCATAGCAACTCTTTTCCGGATGGCAGGCATAACGACAGAAAAGGCCTCCTTCCTGAGTTCTGACAGATGACTTTGTTTAATTAGTGAATTTGGCTCAAACCAAGTTTATCTGATGGCATAGAAACTATCGGAGAGTATTTGCAGAGACTGTTGGTTTGCAAATAATACTGTCCATATTGCTCTAAGTCAGATAATTTAAAGGCAATGATTAGTTGAGTCCCCTTGATACATTTCCCCTCCCACAAGATCATCGGCCCCTACGACAATCAACCACCAATTGCTTTCCTTAATGCACAATAAAGTGGGGATGAATGTGACTGTGTGCCTATTCCAGAAGCTTCAGCCAGTTTTCAAGTTGCTTGGTGATGCCCACATTCAGAAAGAGCCTTCATAGTAGGCACTTTGCAAAGTGGGTTAGCCATTATGCGTCCAGCCTTTCTTCCAGCCCAAGCAAAATTGACCAGAGAAGACAGAGCCTTCTCAATTGCAATGATGAGAGGGTGACCCCAATATGAGCTGGGTAGCCACTGCTCCATCATCACCAACATTATCGATGAAATGTTGCAAACTGTCCATACAGCAAAAACTTGTGTTATAAGAGGGAGAATATTATTTTAAGACTGGAATGGCTAAAGCAAATGGCTGCCTCTACCGTAGACTAGGCATGAGGCAAAGGCAATATTCTTATTTACACATATTAGTAACAGGGTGGGTGAATGATGGACAAATGTGTCATTCCACCATTGCTGGTAGAAGAATCTGAGTATGTTTATCCATTCACTCTCTATACATTGCTTTCCTTGATTTAAAGTCAGCCTTCCTTCCCCGTAGGAAGACTCTGGTCAAAACTCATTCTTCTATAGATCAAGGATTCATTTACCCAATTAGGATGCTACATTTGATCACTGTTATATCAGTTATATGTGGTGGTAGTGATCATTTCCCTGCAGATATCACAATCTGGAAACTGGCAAAACAGTTGTATTCTGATCTCTTTTGTATTTTCAACATCATTATGAATTCAGTGGTCATCCCTTAACCAAGGCAGAATTTATTTATTTTACTTATTAATCAAATTTATATAGCAACACATCTCACAAAAAGCAACTCTTTTCTCTAACCCAAGTTGACCTTAGAAGTCTACAAGTCTGCCAGCTTACTCTATGGGAGAAAGGTTCACAATTTTTCCAAAACCCAAATTATGATCTTTTCAAAGGAATGGAAATGTTGCAAATACCGTTGGGAGATAAATAATGATCTCATACAACAGCTTTAAATAGCACAGTCCAGGGGAATCTGGCCTGAACAAATTAAATCTATTTCTTATAAGTCTAAAAAAATGTGCTAGGGCCTTCTTGGGTTTCTTTCCTATCAAAGGAGAGGCAAGAACATACACACATTTCCCAGTACTTATAAAGCTCTCCTGTATATGTATGTAATAACCTAAAGCAGGCATACCCAACCCATAGCCCATGGGCTGCATGAGGCCTTGGTTGGCTAGTAATGTGATCCCACAAGATTGTAAACTTTTATTATGCAATTTATATACATTAACTATATGATACATTTTCTATACAGCTGAAGACTTCACTCAATAAGGCCCAGGCAAGCCAAAAGGTTGGATACCCAGGACCTAAAACTTAGATATCATCCAGATCCCTAAGAGTGCTATTCCTATTACCTGGTTGCACCTCAAATGAAGCACTTTGCTTCGAAACTGGGATGATTCTGCAGTTGGAGCTGGAGCTTCCAGCTTTATTTTGGTCTCAAGTTCCATTTTTCTAGAGACTCCATGGCTGCTGTGGTCCTTCTTGGTAAACGTTCTTCTTCCTGAAAATCATGAAAGTGATCTGTGACAGCAGGTGTTTAACAAACATCTCTAGAGTACCGTAGGGTTGATTTAGCCATGGATACTGACCACATATGAATAGGAAACCTTTCGCATCAGTGAATATTCCATACTGCAGAGCCTTTTCTGTAGCTCGCTTAGCTGCTTGCAATTTTGGAGATGTATAAATAATACTTCTTTTGCAGAATGAACTGGCCCCAGAGATCTAGACTCCAAAGGAACCTGAAATTCCAGCAAGTGTGCCTCTTGAATGTTTGTTATATAACATCTTATGTTTTCTTCTTACAGTTCCACTTGCTAATAGTTGTCCCAGTAATTCTGAGAACTTAATTTCCTTCCTATTGTTTAACAGGAACCTTAATATATCGCAAGAGCTGTACAATTTCTTTGGGAACATTGTTTTACACAGGAAATTGCTCCCTAAACTTTTAGGACCCAATTAGCACTATTTCCAATTCTTTCCTTTTTCCTTTCCAAATGTGTTATCTGCTGTCTTATGTTTTGGGTCTTTATATTTTACTGATCACTCATCCTTGTAATACTTATACATGCATACATACATGCATACATACATACATACATACATACATACATACATATGAATATTTGCACAGACTTGCTCAGCAGTTTGGTATTAAGTGTGTAAGTATTTAGTTTTTTATTCATATTTAGATTCTTCAGTATCATCTGTGTGTATGGCATTTTAGTTTGTTATTTTACACATTTTTATTGATTTTAGAAAATGTACTTTTTAGCTTGCACTTTGTATATCTTATTAAAAACTGCACATAATATTGGTAAATTATTATAATCAAATTAACTAACTGACTAACTAACTAACTAAGCAAATAACTAAGTATTATCATGAGGATACGTCTTCCCGAAATGGTTAGCCAATTGTTTTAAATTGGATGGTTAATAAGTTGAAGAAATAAATGAAATATAGATTTATATACCAGCTTCACATGAGGATTGCCCAATGTCTAGCTTTAATGACTATACATTACCAATGGATATTTATGATTATTCTCTGATCTTTGTTGTTAAAGAAATACGACAGAAATACTATTTATTTTTCACAATCCTATCAGTTATTGCCTTCTTCCAAAGAGTTGATTCATAGCTCCCTCTGGTGGTCAAATTCATTTAAAACACAGAGTGAATTTTGTACTTTTCCCATTTTATCATGGACTGGAAATAAATCTGGCCCTGACATAAAACAATCAAACTCTTGTTATTATATGGTCAACTTTTGCATAAGTTGAATTTGTGGCAGACCCGTGGGGGTGGCGGTGGATTGGGCTGATGATTTTCTCAGCCCTGCTCTATTAGGTTATTAGCTATTAGAAAAGAATAGAAATAGAAATAGAAATAATAGAAATAGAAATAGAAATGAAATGGAATAGAATAGAATCAGAAATAGAAATAGAAATTGAAATAGAAATTGAAATAGAATAGATTAGAATACTTTATTAGCCAAGTGTGATTAGACACACACGGAATTTGTTTCCAGTACAGAAGCTTTGGGTGTACACGCAAAATAAGAAGTACTGTATTTTGGGGGTATAAGACGCACTCACCTGCCCCAAAGTAGGTGGAAATGTCTGTGTGTCTTATACAGCAAATGTTGCTGAAGCCCCACGCACCCGCCAGCCCCCACCCCTCGGCCTCTGCCTCCCAGCAATTTGTGCCCTGTTTTCAGCCTCCACGCCCCCCGTTTTCAGCTTCTGCCCACCCCATGGGATGCACGGAGGCCAAAAATGGGGTGCACTGAGGCCAAAAATGGAGCACACGGGGGCTGTGATAGATGATAGTGATCCCTGCAGACTGGAACAGCTGACCTTCATTATTCTGGGAGGCAGATCCAATCGACAATCAGTTGCTCATGCTAAATCTGAAGCTGACCAGGCTCAGAGGTGGTATTCAGCAGGTTCTGACCAGTTCTGGAGAACTGGTAGCAGAAATTTTGAGTAGTTTGGAAAACCAGGAAATACCACCTCTCACTGGAGGTTTTACAGCATCTTTCCCCTGCCCACCAAGCCATGCCCACAGAACCAGTAATAAAAAAATTTGAATCCCACCACTGACCAGGCTGTTTGCTGCAAGGAGGCAAATTTTTGGGAGGCAGACTTTCCCCCCTTGTTTTCTCCCCAAAAGCTAGGTGCATCCAGGGGTGGGATTCTACCAGTTCTGACCGGTTCTATAGAACCCCTTGTTAACTTTCTAAGCAGTTCGGAGAACCGGTAAGCAATCTCTTTTTGTTTGTTTCCACCCTTATTACATTCTTGCCACTACGCCTAGACTTCCTATCTCTGGAGCTTCTGGGGCTTGACTTTCTTACTCCTCACAAAGAACACTTAAGGAGAAGCTGTGAGGGGTTAGTCTTTACCAGAAATAATTGTTGGCTTTGGCTTACACTCCCCTGGCTTTGACTGGTGCCTTGACTTGCTCTTTGCCTTGCCGTGGGGAGTTTGGGGTGTTGGAAGTCCACAAGTCTTAAAGTTGCCAAGGTTGGAGACCCCTGCTCTAGAGGCCTGCTTTCCTTGACCACCTGGGTCATATTCAGTGGTGGCATTCAGCAGGTTCTGACTAGTTCTGAAGAACCGGTAACGGAAATTTTGAGTAGTTCGGAGAACCGGCAAATACCATCTCTGTCTGGAGATTTTACAGTATCTTTCCCCTCCCACACCCACCAAGCCACGCCCGCAGAACCGGTAGTAAAAAAAAAAATTGAATCCCACCACTGGTCATAACAGAGACACACAATTTAGAGCTATAATAAAGCATTTCCCTAATTCAGAGGTGGGGAAAGGTGGTGATAATGCTTCAGCACAATTTATATTGGATAAACTGACTGACTTCTAGAGAAAAAAGTATGCAAATCCTACACAAATTGTTAACTGATTATGCCATTGAGTTGGTGTCAACTCTTAATGACCATGTAGATAAACCTTTTCCAGGATGATCTGACTCCAATCTGGCGCTTTAGGTCTTATAATGTTGCACCCATCAGTACTGTAATTAAAATCCACCCACTTTGATGCCAGGGGTCTCTTCTCTTTCCTTTTACCTTTCCCAGCATTATACACTTCTAAAGGGGATTAGGTTTTAACATAACAGTCCTGAACATGATAATTTGAACCTGGTAATTGTGCCTCAAATGAGAACTCTGAATTGATTTATTTTTATGAACCATTTATTTTCCTGGCCATCCATGGTATTTTCAGGAGCTTTCTCCAATACCAAAACATCAATAATCTCTCTGTCCTATTTCTTCAAAATCCAACTGTTGTGTCTATGGAGTGTCACAAAAACCACCACCATTGACTGCACAATTCAGATCATTATAGATATAAACATGTTATTTTCCATTGCTATCAGATGCTAGTCGGTGATTGTCTGCTTATTCTTTTACTTATGATATTGATCCTAAAAGACAGAAATTCTTTACCACTCCGAACTGTCAATTCTTGTGGTTCTTGCTAGTTTGATCTTTATATTTAATCTTAGTCCCATTTCTTATTATACTATTTGGCTTTAATCAATACAACTTGAAGATCCTTTGAATTTTCAGCTATCAGATAAAAGCTTTAGCATAGCTTGTTTCTGGTGTTTTTTCCTGTCATTTTAAAACCATGCCATTCCTAAGAGGTCTGTAAGGGGTGTGCGTAAGTGCACAATCATGCCTACCATCCCTGTCCTATTGTCCCATTTATTTGTATCTATTTCCTGTATTCATACTCATGTTTATTCTTATACCTATTACCTTGTAAGTGATTGACAAATCAATTAAATTTTTTTAAAAAATGTTCACCTTCTTCCATTGCAACTTCCCTCAATATATAGTACATTCAAGGGAGGACATGTAATCTTGTATCTGTCAACTCATAAAACGTTTTCTATGGTTCCGGGACAATTGACACATCTTAACAAAGAGATGACCTAGCGTGGAAAGGGACAAAACTCTACGTCCCAGAATCCCTATGCAACTTTCTCTTGCCAAACAATTGTTCTATTCAGACAATAGTTCTCCTGTCTTTTATATATAGATTTTTCATGAGCACATTGAGAGATTCTAGAGTTCCGTTTTCCTAAGTACAGTTGAGATAAGGCACAATCAAAAGTCGGTTTAAAATCAATGAATAAAGTAATATAATTAAATAAATATTGTATTATAAATATAATAACATAAATAAGTAAGGATTTAGGAAACAAGTTATAGATTTAGTTGTAGTAAATTACTTTAATTGACACTAATAGAAATGTACACTATGAAAATGTTGCAAAATGTGAGAACATGTTTCTCTTTTTTAAAAAAATATTTTTTGTTTTTAAACTTTGAATAAACATTATTAAAAAATTAAAATCAATGAAGAACATACTGACTTTTTTTGGCATTCTCGGTTATCCAGTATGCATCAGTAATTGTTTTTTCTTTTTTCTTTTGCCTTTTCTAAAATAAAGTTGGACATCAAGCATTTCCTTTTCCATGTATGGCTGTAATCCATGTTAAATGATCTATACATTGTTTTGCTACAATGTGAAAGTAAAGGGTATATAAATGCTCTCCTTTCTTTTGATATGTAGACAGACCTCTTCCAATGTGTTGGCCATTGTGTTGTTCTCCAGCTTTGTTGGCAGAGTTTGATTAGAATATTTACTGATTCTTCCATGAGTTCCTTTAGCCTTCAGACATACTAATAACCAGAATACTTATTTAAGTCAGGCATGATATTTCCCTCAGAAAAAAAAATCGGGGCCGGCCAAAGAAATCACCCGCCCGCCCGCCGCGCGCGCCCGCTCGCCCCTCGCACCGACCGCCGCGCGTGCCCGCCGCCCGCCCGCCCCTCGAACCCACCGCCAATGCGCCGTTCGCACCGACCGCCGCGTGCGCCCGCTGCTCGCCCGCCCCTCGCACCGACCGCCGCTCACACCGACCGCCCGACCACTGCTCGCACCGACCGCCGCGCGCGTGCGCCCACCCGCCGCTCGCACCGACCGCCCCTCACACTGACCGCCCCGCGCGCACGCGCGCCCACCCTCCCCTTGCACCGACCGCCGCGCGCCCCGCCCGCCCCGCCCGCCGCTCGCCCGGGCAATTCCGAAAAAAATCGGAATTCCGATTTTAATCGGAAAAATATCATGCCTGTTAAGTTCACCTTCTTCTATTAAATGTTCTCATAAACAGAGAACATCTTCTGGGTATCTTGAACAATGAGATCTCTACTACACATTACATACTCTACATACACATCTTCCATTCTGGTTGAGCGTTTTTGAATTTGTTACTATCTGTTCATTGGCAATTTTAGGATAAGAATTCAACGTTAGACCCTTCTTCTGAGTTTTCAAAAACTGTATTTTTCCATCTTCACATATATTGTTTGTTTCTTTCTAACTATTCTCAGGTTCTTCCCGAGATCTTTGCATCTTTCTTGGGTTTGGCTTCTCTTGCAATTTCTACCATTTGTTCTGATTTCCAGTTTGCTTTTTTTCTGTTTTTTGATCTTTTAACAGTCTCTTTTCACATTCATCCTTAAAATGTGTTTGATTTCATGCAGCAATTTCACTGTTCCCTATCAGCAAGGTTCAAAATAAGCCCTGATGTTCTCCTTGAAAATGGTGGATATATGCTTCAGATCATATTATGGTAACTGCTTAGTTTTTTTTCTCCCATTTTAGCTTGACTTGGAACTTGTACATAAAGAGTTTGTAATTTGCTTCACAATTGGCCCCTGGAAAGATCTTCGTTGTTATAATTGAGTTCTTCCACTTCCTTGTATCAATAATATAGTCGATTTGATTTATTGTACATTATCTGGTGACCACCTTGTGTATACTTGTCCTTTTAGTTAGCAATAGATTAGCAATAAAGAAAGCACTGTTTCAGATCTCGTGTGTGGCCTTCCAAAGCTCCATTTTCACTGGCAAGAGGGTTGCAGGAGGCTATCCCAGCCAAAAATGGAGCTCACAAGGGCCACACGCAGCCCCCCCTCCCACTTGAGTTTCTTTTTTGCTGGCAGAGGGTTGCAGGAGGTCGTCCCAGCCGAAAATGGAGCTCGGGAGCCCGTTTTCATTGGCAGAGCACTCGGGCTATCACAGGCACCCCCAACATGAGTGACATCATGCTGGCTGTTAAGTCCGCCGATCGGAAAGAAAGGCGCGAGTCTCAGTGATTTTCAGCTCTTTATTCATTCCGAGATCAGCTTGGCTCGGCTAGGGTGTGTGGCGGCTTATATTGAACTTGCCGGCCAAGCCGCAGCCAATGACACCACTTTGAATCTCCCGCGATCGGTTTCCTCCAATCGCGGGGGATTCGCAGCGGGCCAATCAGTGCAGCTCGCTCAGCCAATCGAGTCGCCGCGCGCCCTAGCCAATCAGAACAGTTATTTACAAGAATGCTAATGTACAATACAGAACACCCCTCCCCTCTTGGTATGGTCCTACGTGACGTAGTCCCGTAGGTAGGCGGGGCTCCGTACTTGCCTACTGGACCTGCGCAGGTTAGTTGTTGTCTGGTCTTCGAGCGGTTCGGTCGGGTTCTGTGTTGCTCCTTGCTTCATCGATGGAACCGCCTGGAAGGGTGAGCCGGGCCTTTCGCCGTAGCTCCCTCCCGGTCTACTCGGGTTGGTCGAGCTGCTGGCTTTGTTGCTCCCGCCCGGTCTTTCCGGGCTGGTTGAGCTGGCTTGGCTGTTTCTTCCAGGCGAGGCTTCGAGTTGTTCGTCTGCTCCTGTTTTGGTTGGTGAGTATTCTTGGATTCTTTCTTGTTGGGTTTGTTTATTTTGGTTCCCGGGGTTTTCCCTCCCCTCTTGGCTGGTATTGGGGTTTCCCCTTCCCCCTGTGGTTTCTTTTTCCGTGTGTGCTTGCGTGTCGGTTGTCTTTCCCGTGTTAGTTCTTGATCTTAACTGATCGATGTGTCTCTTCCATGCTCGTCTGTTGGTTGTTTGCAGCTGGTACGAGCGGGGACCTGTTACCTGGGTTATGGTTGCTGGTACCCAGAGTGGGTCCCCTGTGAGGTTTTTTGCGTATACTGAGTCGCCCGGTGCGAATGTTCGGTGCTTGCTAGATGAGTCGGGGTTTTTTTCTGGGTTGTATGTGGGGTGCAGCCTGTCAAGTGGGGACATTAATTTTCTCCCCATTAATAGTTCTGCCGGGCTTTTGTTGGTTGTCGTGTTTGGGGTTATGTGTTGTATGAGTAGCATTTTATTAATCTTTTCTTGTATTTCCCCGGTTTCCATTTTTTGGATTGTTTTTTTTGTAAATTGGACCATTTGTTCCGCCCTCCCATTTGCCGCCGGATGTGCTGGCGGTCAGCGCATGCCGTATTCCCCGTTCCGCTAGGAATTTTTCGAATTCCAGCGAGGTAAATTGGGGCCCATTATCTGATACAATGACATCTGGGAGGCCGTGGGTTGAGAATAGTCTGTTGAGTTCTTTGGTTACGGCCTCCGTGGTGGTGGTTTTCATGTTGCTTACCTCCAGCCAGTTGGAGTAAGCATCTACTGTAACGAGGAAGGTGTGTCCCTTTGTAGGTTCGGCGAAGTCTATATGAATCCTGGACCAAGGTCCCCTGGGGGTCTCCCATTCCAGGATGGGGGCGGCGGGAGGGCTTGGCCTGGATGCTTGGCATTGTCTGCATGTCGCCACCGAAGCCTCGATTTGTCTGTCCATCCCTGGCCACCAGGCGTAACTCCTGGCCAGGGCTTTAGTCTTAACAATGCCCGGGTGCCCTTCATGCAATAATTCCAAGACCCTTTCTTGTAGTTTTCCCGGGATGACAACCCTATCCCCCCATAGTAAACAACCCTTTTGTATGGAAAGTTCTGTTTGCCGGTTCTGAAATGTCCTGAATCGTCGTCTTTTTCCGGCCACTCTTTTTCTACCCAATGCAAAACCCGCGCCAGATGTTTGTCTTTATTGGTTTCGCGGGCAATGTCTGACGCGGTTACGGGGAGATTGGGTAGAGTCTCTATGCTCAGGGTGGACGTTGTGGGTGCTGGGTCGGCGTCCAGGTCGGGCAGCGGTGTGGGGCTCAAGGCGTCTGCGTGGGCAATGGTCTTACCGGGGCGGTAGGTTAGCCGGTAAGTGTAGGCGGCAAGGAATTCGGACCACCTTGTCATTCTTGGGGATAGAATGTTTGGGGTGGCCTTGTTCCCTGCCAGGATTCCCAGCAGTGGCTTGTGGTCGGTGTTAATGGTAAAGGTCCTGCCATAGAGGTACTCGTGGAACCTCTTTACGGCGGCGACGATTGCCAGGGCCTCCTTATCCAGCTGGCTGTAGTTTCTTTCTGGTTTTAAGAGGGTTCTTGAAAAGAAGGCTATGGGTGCCTCTTTTCCGTCCGGGAGAGTGTGGCTGAGGACGGCTCCGACGCCGAAAGGTGATGCATCGCATGTGACCGCTAGTGGTAGGGTCTCGCTGTATTGAATGAGGACAGCGTCTGATGTGAGTAGGTCTTTTGTCCGGTTGAATGCGCTTTCCTCTCGCCTTCCCCAGTTCCAAGTGGCCATTTTGTCGAGTAGCCTATGCAAAGGCTCCGCCGCAGTCGCCTTTTGGGGCAGGAAAACATTATAGAAGTTAATCAGCCCAAGAAATGCTTGCAGTTCGGTTTTATTATTTGGCCTGGGGGCTTCTTTGATGGCTCTGATTTTTTTTTCTGTGGGGTGGATTCCGTGCTAGTCCAGGAGGTACCCTAGGAATTCGACTTTCTCGGTGCACAGCTGACATTTTTCTTTTTTGACTTTCAGCCCCGAGTCTTTGAATTTTTGTAGTACCTCCCTTAGGTGGCTTTCTAATTGTTTCATGTTGGCCGCTGATACCAGCACATCATCAAAGTAGCGCACTACCCCCTTGATGCCTTGGAGTAGCCTTTCCATAAGGCTCTGGAAAATTCCCGGTGCCACGCTGACTCCGAACTGGAGTCTCTTGCAGCGGAAAGCCCTCCGGTGGGTCACTATGGTCTGCGCCTCGGCGGTTTCTGCGTTGACTGGCAGCTGCTGGTAGGCTTGTGCTAGGTCGAGCTTCACGAAAACCTTGCCCCCCCCAGTGAGTGCAGTAGGTGCTGTACTACCGGGACGGGGTAGGCGCTTTGCTGTAGGGTGCAGTTTAGGGTGGCCTTATAGTCCCCGCAGATTCTCACCGACCCATCGGGCTTGACCGGGGTGACTATGGGGGTCTCCCATCTGGCGTGGTCGATCGGTTCTAGCACTCCCTGTTTGATGAGCTTGTCTATCTGCTCATCCATCTTGGGTCTGAGTGCAAAAGGCACTCGCCGCGGCTTAAGGCGGATCGGGGGGATGCTGGGATCTAGGCTGAAGGAAATAGGGGGCCCTCGGTACTTGCCTAGGCTGCCGTCGAAGACCTCCTGGAAGTCCCTCGCGAGTTGTTCCTCCCAGTCTGCTTCGGTGATGTGGTCGATGCCCGTCACTCCGATTCCGAGTGGCGTGAACCACTGTAGTCCCAAAAGGCTGGGTCGGTCTCGGTCCACGATCGTTAGGGGAAGTGTTTCTGTTCACCCTTTGAAGGTGATTTTAAATTGTCTGGTTCCGACTACGGGGATGCAGTTCCCTTGGTCGTCCTTTAGAATTAACTTTTGGCTTTCCAGTTCCCTTTTGTGGATGTTGGGCACCAGGCGCTTGATTTCCCGCCATGCAACCATGGAGAGGTAGGACCCGGAGTCCACCTCCATTTTGCATGGCTGGCCCTCGATGCCCACTTCCACGTGTACCTTGCGGGCGTCCCAGCTAGATGAATGGCCAATGATGACCGTCTGATGGGTCTCCTCTCTTTGTCGGTTCTCGCCATTTCGACGGTTCCGTCCATCTCGGCTCCACTGGCTCTCGTCTTGGCGGTCTCTTGCCTGGGGGGGGGGTGCTGTCTCGTCTTCGGCTGCTGCTGTTTGGCTGTCGGGGGCTGTAGTTTCGTTTGAAACGGCAGACTCGAGCGATGTGCCCCCTTTTGTCACAATGTCGGCAGATCGCATCAAAAAACCGGCAGTCTGCCTGAGGATGGTCACCCCCGCACCCGGCGCACTGTAGCCCTGACTTACGACTCCGCCGCTCACGCCGGTCTCTTTCCGCTTGGAGTCGGTGGATGTCCTCTTCTTCATCGGTGGTGTCGGAAGGGGAGTCTAGGTCGCCATGATGGGTGGTGGTGGTCGCTCGGCGGGTCGCCTCTGGAATTGTCTCAGGTGTTTGGGTTGTCTCGGTGGCCGCGGGTCGATCTGCCCTGTCGATTTGTCGCATTCGGGCTGCGGACTTCCGGGTTGCCTTGGCAAGGGCGTCTGCGAGGGAGATGTCGCCCCTCGCCATCAGCCGGCTCTGTAGAACGGGGTGTTTGAGCCCAAGGACGACGCGGTCTCGTAGTGCCTCGTCCATGTCTGTGAAGCCGCACATGCCCCCCAGGTTCCGCAGATCCGCCACGAAATCGCCGATGCTCTCACCCTCTCTCTGGTCCCGGTGGTAGAAATCGTGTCGCCTGATGACTGTGGGCATGGCGGGGGCATAGTGGCCCCGCAGCAGAGGCTCGAGGTCGGCCCAGTCCATCGCCTTAACATCTTCAGGTTTTGCGAGGGCTTTCGCCATCTTAAACACTGCGGGCCCGCAGTGTGTTAGGAAAACGGCCCTTTTTTTCTGCCCATTTGCATCCTTGAGGTTGCTACTTTCCAGGAACATTAGGAATCGATCTATATACGATTCCCAGTCCTCAGTAGCTTGGTTGAAGGGTGCGGGTGGCGCGATGTTGGCCATCTTGCTGGCTGCCTCTATCTTGGTGCCACGTGCTTGGTGGGTATCAGTTCCACGATCCCATCCTCGTCGCCAGTGTTAAGTCCGCCGATCGGAAAGGAAGGCGCGAGTCTCAGTGATTTTCAGCTCTTTATTCATTCCGAGATCGGCTTGGCTCGGCTAGGGTGTGTGGCGGCTTATATTGAACTTGCTGGCCAAGCCACAGCCAATGACACCGCTTTGAATCTCCCGCGATCGGTTTCCTCCAATCGTGGGGGATTTGCAGCGGGCCAATCAGTGCGGCTCGCTCGGCGAATCGGGTCGCCGCGCGCCCTAGCCAATCAGAACGGTTATTTACAAGAATGCTAATGTACAATACAGAACACTGGCCATGCCCATCCCACCCCGCAGAGGTCAAACACAATCCTGATGCAGCCCTCAATGAAATTGAGATCAGCACCCCTGGACTAGATTGTATCCAAATTTGTATTATTTATTTATGTATCATATTTAAGAATTTCTCTCATAAGGGACCTGTCTTTGCTATATTCTGCTTTATGAAAGCATTCCATTCCTTGTTTTTCATGTCTTGAGTAGTAAATGATATGATTCTCTGATTAAAGCAGCATCAGTTGTGATATCTTTGTTCTGCATAGTAGTATTAGGGGAAGGGTATCAGGTGTGGCACCTCCTAGGAAACTGGTAGTGGCAGGGGGAACTATCAAGTTGCTATTCCAAAGCAGGTGGTGGGCCAAGACCACTTGTGAAGACTCATATGACCACTTGTGAAGATTCATACGGTTTGGGGAAAATTTTGAAACCTCCAGGTTTCCATTTTATTGGCTCAGCTGTTCTGCTACAATGATTTACATGGTTTATTGCACCAGGTTTTTTTAAGGAGTTGATCAGTAGTTGGATTTGAAAGAGACTGAGAACTTCATTTTTTCCCTTTGTAATGGTATGTGGGAAAGACCTTGAGACTGGACAAAGAGACACTGCCAAGAAAACAGTCTGATAAGAGACAGCGTAACTTGCAGCCAGATAATGAGCAAAGCAAGAGGCTCAGTACCATCCTAGTTTCTTGGTCTGTAAGGAGATGAGGGAGAGGGAATCTTCTTTCATACAGAAGATTAATGTTGGCCTCATGAGGTGAACTAGGTAGGAATCACAACTATATGAACTAATAATACTGTATTATACAGAAGATTTATATTGACCTTATGGGTATATCAGACAGGAATCAGATAAACTAATTTTGTTATTGTAAAACTACATTGACAGAAACTTGCAAGTATGAAAATATAATGTTCTCCCCACCCACTCTCCAGCTCCTTTACAGCCCGAGAAACTAGGGTTTCTTCTGAGTCTCTTGCCTTGCTCATTGTGTAGCCAAAAATTATATTGCCTCTTATCTGCCTGTTCCATGGCAACATCTCTTCCCATATACTATTACATCCTATGAATAATGCAATTCTGTGTTTATGGCATTTTCACAAAATGGCTGTCATGATTGTTGTGGCCAATCACAAAGCATTCTCTTATTAGGAGTCAATCGGATGAGATTGCTCAATGTTATTCCCTCTAACATATTAGGCCATTCTGTGGAAACTCAGGCTTTAGTTGTGATATTAGATTATTGTGAGCTACTGTATTAATTTGATGCACTGTATTTTATAATGGCTTAAACTACTATTATTACCTCACCTTATTTGTTTTTTAACTTGGATAGGTGGGCATACTTCCAATTACTCACTACTGCAATTACTCACTATTTTATTTTCTAAGAATGCTTCTGGGAATTTTTGGAATATACATTATGAGAAAGATTGGAACTTTTCTCAGAAGCAGATAAATCCACAAGCGTGCTAATAAAGCTGGTAAGCGAAAATTGTTTTAATTTATATAAGAAAAGATGCCTATAAAATAGAAAATAGGTATCTATACCTGCATATTGTAAGCAACCTTACTGATTATAACTGAGGCTGAGACCACTGATCACAGTAGTATGGTCATACTGTTATGTATAGAGAAAATGAATATACAAAACGTTTGGAGAACCAGGAAGCTACTGTAGCTCCTCTGTTTCTACTAAACTTCCATAATAAACTGGCACAGAATAGTAGATATGTCGTTATAAATACTATTGAATAGACTGATATTGGTTCATATCAAGAAAATTACTTTTAGCACCTTATGACCAAAAATTACATAAAATTCTCTTCATAGAATTTATATTTTGTCAAACTTAGTTTAAAAAATCTGCATTCAAATAAGCAAACAAAAACCCTATCCTTAAACATAAGACTTTCACTGTTGAAATACAAGAAATTCCTATTGCTAGTTAATAGATCTACAACTGAAAAATTCTCGAAAACACAAGCACCTATTTCTTTGAATCAAAATGGAAAATTCTTCTGCCCCAAATGTTGTGGCAAAAAAATAATGTAATAGCAAAGGACCTTTAAAATCTTTTTTTAAGGGCCATAAATAAATCATTACCTATAAAAATGTTCTAAATATGAACATGGAATATATAAAATGGTTATATTCTTAAAATCACATTTGTATGAATACAAACATAAATATGCATATTCCCAAGTTTTTCTCGATTTGCTTTTTCATCTTGATATTCTTTATATGTTTACACATACACAAAAAAGATTAAGTCTACATTTCAGGAGTCTTGACAAATTGACTTTTATCTGAATAAAAAAAATATGAAGAATACATCTGAGTAATTCTATGTATATGAATGTTATGGTTAAACACCTAGGCATAGCACCTGCTGTTTGTTTTTCCTTTGCAGGAGTATGAACATTTTTCAGAAGTTACACTGCTGCTTTTCGACTGATTGAGAGAAAAAAGATCCATTCTCAGTGGGCCAAATCTTCTCTTTTTGGTCAAACATGTTAATCTTCATTCTAATCATAGCTGTCATTTTTTTTTATTACGCTGCTTTGTTAATCGCATTGCTATTTTCTCTACCAGAACGAAATCAAACGCAATGCTACCCTTCCAAAATGTCCGTGGCCTTTTCTACCTCCATCACTTGGCTTTCCTTGTTGCCTGGAACTATCCTGTCACCAATCAGTCACCCAGTATTGTTCTCTGGAACAGTTACAGCCATTGCTGAAAGAACACTGCAAGCAGCACATCAGGGTGGATAAAAGAAAGAAATAAAGCAAGCCTTCCCGACTGAAATACAAACAAATATATTTGACGCCGGCAGGTCGATCGCGTCATCTTTTCCCTTTAAATTTGCATTTACAATCAATCGTCTGGCCGTTATTGTCTTTGCAAACCTCCGAAAAAGCTGTTCTCGATTGGGGCCATCAGATCGGGTAATCTGCGCCCATAATATTATTTTGTTGTGGCGGCGGCTGGCTCCCGGCCGGCTGAGAGATGCGGCGAAGAGGGAAGCAGCAGGCGAAGCCGAAGTGAACACCTCTGAAGGCTCCAGACATTGCAGAATGAGTGCGTCAGACCCGGAGAACAGAGAGGGAAAGCAGATGGGGAGGGAGGGAGGGAGGGCGGTGATCAGATCAGGCGCCTGCCTGACAGAAGCCGCGAGGGTAGCAGGAGGAGGAGGAGGAGGAGGTGAGCCTAGGTGGACTTAAACCGGGGCAGCCCCTCTCCAGTCAAGAGCTCCACTTTTCTTTGCAGATCGAGCAGAAAGCGGCTTGGTCAAAGTGAGTGGTTGGTTGCACTAAAGCGAGAAGCCAGCTCGCTTTGGGCTGATGATAACCTGCGGATGCCGAGGCATACCCAGTCTCCTCCCCCTCTTTCCCCCCCGCCCTCCTCTTCTGGGGAGCCAGGCCGACTCCGAGGCTGGCGAGGCGTAGCAGCACCCAGGCGCGCGGGGAGGCGGAACAGCCCCTTGGTAGAAAAATCCCCGACTCGGCACTGTGGAGTAACGCAAGAGTTTCGGTCCCCTCACTTGCAGGGAGGCCGCTGCGCCAGTCCTCAAGACAAGCCAGGTGGTGGGCGGGGGCACCGGGCGCTGAGGCGAACTCTTCGCTCGCTCGTGCTTCTCCCTCCCTTCCCCACCCCCTTTTTTTTACGCGCGCTTACGCCCGCCTCTCCCAAGGCTCTGGGCCAGTCTGCTGCTGGCAGGTAGGCTGCGAGCGCCGGAGGTGCGCGCCTGTTACACTAGGAGTGCTGGTCTCCCGTCTCGCCCTCCCCCTCTTCCCGTAGGACTCCGCCCGGCGCGCCTCCGACCTTCCCAGGAAAGGGCCAAAAGTGCGCGCTTGGGGCTTTCACGCCCCTTCCCCGCCTGGGTGTTTTTTTCCTTGCACGCCCACCTCTCCTGTGCGAGGGCAGCGGTAGGACGCGGCGCGCGCTTGGGGAGGTCTTGGCGTCGGCTTCAGCTGTGGAGAATGAATTAAAGCGGCTTCCCCGGGAGCAGCGGCGGCGGCGGGGCGCGTCTCCGGTTACGGTGCGTCTTTCTGATTGAATGAAAGGTAACGGCTCTCCCACGTAATTTGGGGGAGGCGAGGCGTTGTCTGGGGCGAAATTGCGACACCCCCGCCTCCCCCCCTCCCCAGGTCGCTTTTGGATCAACCCTCCGCCTCTGTTCCCTCTGTAGCGCGATCCTATCGGGTAGGCCAATGAATGTAGTTAAAGGCCGGGCGGCGCTTGTGGTCCGATAAGGCTCCGGGCGGGGAGAGGGGGAAATATGTGCACTACTCCGTTTGCAGAACAGGATGTGCAATGCCTACGTTGGAGGGACGGTAGAAGGGTTTGCCGGTGCTCGGTGGGTCTTCCATAGCGACCTTTTGCAGGCTGGTGATGCCTTCCGCCCCTGTAATTGACAATGCCATCTTGGCTGGGAATTCTGGGAGTTGAAACCCAATACATGGGGAAGGGGATTCCAGTTGGAGAAGGCTTCTTTTATAAGAAAATTGTTGTTTAATTCTTAACACGTTAATTACGTTTATTGTACTAAATTAAGGAGGGTTTGATCCACATGGCTGTATTGTTGTCCAAATCTAAGCACGTTATATAATAGACTATATGGGTGTACCTATTAGATTCTTGCACAATTTATGCAAATTCATATCAGGAATGAGGGACAAGCTTTTTTTTTGCATAATACCTGTTAAGTAGCAAACACCCCCCCCCCCCAATTTGTTAGGCCTAATAATAAGGACAGTAACTTTTACTATCTTTTGGGGAATTTATATTTGGCTCATGAGACATTAACATACTCAATCTGACTTACACAGGGGCCTTGATGGTTTTGTGAATTATTGCAATGGAAAGAGGCCCTGTACTTTACCAAAATTAATACTTTTACTTTTGTTACTTATACAGTGGCAGCTACTAACACTATCTTTCAAGAATGTGAGTAGTGTTAGACTATCTCCGTAAAATTACTGTTCAGAAAGTCCTATTTGGGGTCGTTTCTCTTCTAAAAATCTATAACTGATATAGAAGGAGGAGAGAGTATTTATTGCAGAGTAAGGAACACTTTTTAAATTTATTTTACTTTTAAAAATAAAAATATCCAAAGGTTCTACTAAAACTTTTGTGCAGTGTCAAGAGCTATTAAAAATCCAAATTTTCACCCAACGGAGTGAAAGCTCTTCAGCTTATTGAGCTCTTTTCAGTTTTCTTAAATCCTTTCTGTTGAAAATATAGAACATTGCTTTTTTGGAAGTTTTATGTTGATGGAAGTACCAATGTTACTGCTTGGCATCATTGCTTAAAAAACAAATATTGATTTGTTCTGAAATACTTGAATTTTGCAAATAATGTTGAGCTGCATTCCATATTTACTTATTTAGTTGCAGTGGGCAACTGGGGAAGCGTATTACAATTATGTCAATATTTTGCAAGGCAGGGAGGTTTTTTTTTCCCCCCCAGTGACAAAATTAGAAGTTCTGGATAAAATCTGGAAAAAAAAAATCCTATCGAGTACTTTCTCCTTTAGAATAGTTGAAATGTTTTTAACGCACATTCAAAATATATCATGTAAAATTTCTCGTACATAAAAATTGAGAGAATTAAAGGATAACCATTTTAAGAACAGTCAGAAAGACTGAGAGGGGAATCTAAATACTTTTAAAAAATTTGTTGAAAATTTGGGAAAATAGATTTTAATTTTATCTAGATTATGTTTGTGGAGAATCTTTATTAAAATATTTTTTGTGAATTATCTACCAAGATCACTACAATTCCTCTGACATTTTCATGAGCGAATAAAAAAGGAATCAGTGTCTTGTCTGTGAGTGATCTTGATCACATTTGTAATCAAGTGTATAGCGGTTCTGTTGTTTTCTAGAAATATGGCAGGCTCAAATTACTGAAAGTGCTCTGGAATAAGCAGTAGTGCATTATTCCAGTGGAGATTAGATAGAAAGAAGGAACTTTTGATCTTGATTACCTAGTCCTAGACAGAACAAGTCTAGAGCTTTGGATGTTGGAAGGAACTTCTCTTGATGTTGTAAGTTTATTTTGAGAGCCACAGATAGAGCTAAATAGAGCTGAAATACATCATTGTTGCAAGCAAGAGTTCTGAAATCCTTATAATAAGTTCTAATAAGACTATTTTATGATATTCAATGGGAAACCACTGAACACCTTTACCATTTAATTGTACATAATACATTGAATTTCTCCAAATTATGCTAAAAACAAAGGATCGCCTGGATTTAAAAAAAAATCTAGAAATTTTATATCTTTATTTAGATCTAGCAGGACCTTGAATCCTGGTTTTCATGCTTTTCATACCTGGACCAGATTCTTACCTTTTTGATCATGACTTTACAGTACTGTCATTGCTACCATTCATATTTAAAGCTGTGAGTCAAAAATACAGTCTTTGGTCAGATATCATTCAGATGAACTACAATTTAAAGAATTTTCAGTCATTGTGAGCACTGATTTTTTTAAAAAAAATTCTGGAAAATCTTATGCCTTGAGCTGAGATTGGCTCCCACCCTCCTGATGTGTCAAAAGAGCCTTAAGACCTGGCTCTGCCAGATGGCTGGAGAGTCAGTGGGGGAGAGCTTCATACTAAAGGTGGTTGACTAATTAAAATTCAACCCCCCTCACCCCCATGTGTCCAGCTCTCTTCTTTGACATCTTGTGTCCTTGAGTTTACCTGTTAATGTTTTTATTTGCTGTGTTTTGGTAATAGATGATTTCAATGTTTTGATGTTGTTAGCTGCCTAGAGTTGCTGGATACAAGATGGATGGCAAATGATTTTTGAGGGAGGGAGAGGGAAGAGGGAGATCTCTGAAGGACTGATATATAGGAGGAAGAGTTAACTTGTTCATTGTTGTCCAGAAGACAGAACAAGAAATAGTGGGATTAAATTACAAGATATCAGATATCAGAAACAATTTCCTAACGGTAAGAACTGTTGAACAATGGAACAGTCTGACTTGGAAGATGGTAGACATGTGGATGGCTCTCTAATAGTGGATTCCTATACCTATGCACAAGGTGTCATGAAAGATATCTAAGCTATTTAGTTGTCACGTTATTTAATTTTAAGATCCTGTAGTCTAGAGAGATTTTTCAGAGGTGCAGATGAGGAGATGATAGTTTTTCTTCTATATATTCATGTAGAGGGTAAGAAGAATGACCTTGATGGAGATATGCAAGATCTGTTGCCAGTGCAATGGGAGATAACTTATTTTAAACCCAAAATAAACAGATAATATTCAGGAGTGACCTGGGCAGCCATCTTTCTAATTTACTGAACAATAATCAATAAGTACAGCACAACAGACTTGCAAAATTCTTTTTATAGACAATCTCAATGAAAGCAGTTTTCATTGAATAGTTCATCCATCCAGTAGGCTGACAAATTCTTAACTTTACACTCAAACCCAGACAATGGGTTTTGAGGTAGAAATGCATATGGCATTTATAAATCAGTATAAAAATCGAATGAGATACATGCTAGAAATATGAAGAAAAGAACAGTAGTTAATGTTCAGGCAATTGATATGTCTGTGTTTGGGAAAAAAACCAAGTTTACTCTACAGTTTTGGTATCTGCTTTGAAGTCTTCCAGTATTCCTTTTTTGTTTGTTTTATTAAAATGTTCAACAAAAATAATGCATTTATAAATTCATTGAAAGAAAACAATTGTCAAGTTTTCCTGGTGTCATTTGAATAGAATGGGACTACTTGCTGGTAGTTGTAATTGCTGATGCAGTGAAAAACCCAAATGATCCAGTTTGGGATATGAGAGATTGGCAATAAGGACAGTATCATTTTTTTAAGATAACTGGTATTAGCAATATGTACCAGCTGCAGTAACTAATATTTTTGAACAATTTTTTTTTTCAGAGAATATCTAGCAACATTAGGTTTAGCTGTTCCTGGCATTTCTTGAAGAACTCTTCTTTTATTTAGTAGTTTCTTGTAGCAAATGGTTTTCAAAGGGATTTATATAACTACACACTTTAAATTTTTTTTAAAAAAAAACATATCGGTAAATTTAGCACCAGATATAGTTAAGCATTATAAGCAAGAATCACTAAATAATTTAAAGCTTTGAAGGTCACTTTAATTAGGAACAAGTCATACCAAAACTTCCATGTGGATGATTGGACGGGAAGGGTTCAAATTCCATTCCCTTTTTTTTTTTTTTTTTTGCTTTGTGGGAGGGCAACTTGTACCGTAAATACCTATGATAATAACTATCAGTAGTTACAGTGGGTATTAAGTAGAACTATCATTTACCTGGGAGAGTTTTGGGACATTGCATGAATAAGGTAGAGAGTTTAGATTGGAACAGAAGGAAATGATTGATCTGTAGAAGAGCCTTAATGTTATTCTCCATATTTTTTTCCTATGGATTTTAATTGGGAGTTTGACCTTGGTTGTTTTAAAAAAATAAATTTAGCCTGATTGAAATCTCTTTCTACTTGGTATTTGGTTGTGAAGTAACCAATTTATTTTGTTAATATGGCTTGATTGTACTGTTATAGTTGAAAAAAAATCTTTTTACTGAATTATTTATTTTCAGGTGCTAAAGAAAACATAATTATTCAGTTGCTTTTGATTCTTCATGACCTGACGGACATTTTTCTGGCTGGCTTATCAAACAGTAACTGCTGTTTGAGTTCCTTGTAAGCTTTTCCACTGACTCTTGCTAGTTTGCATTATGTGCCCACAGTATTTTACTTTTATTTACAGAATTACTGCATTTGGGTGAGCAGCCTGGTTTTACTTCAGTTAGTATTGAATTGTTTGTTCTTTAGGAGGGCTACAGTACACTAAAAAGATTTTTCTAGCACTACTGTTCAAAGACATTGATTTTTCTCCATTCATCATTTCTGATCATCCAGCTGTCATAATCATGTACTACAGTTGAAAAAACCATGGAAGTGACAATATATTTTGTTTATTTATTTGTCCAATTTATATAGCTGTGCATTTCACCAAACAAGCGGCTTAGATAAGCCAGCCAGTGTCAATTAACAAAGCTAAAGTTAAAGCA